TTCAAACTCCTGCATTTTGTCAGCTATTAACTTCCCAAAGTTCTCAGAATAAGGAGGAAGCAGGCATCCATTAAAATACAAATTTTCTATGACCACTGCTCCTAAGGGAATGATACTTTAAATTTGTACCTCACTTCCTTTTTCAAATGCATAAGAACTATATATAGCATAAAAAAATATAAATTAGCATATGTCTATACTGATCACTGTGTTACAGAAACATAAACCAAAATAGTAGTTATCTGGGTACTAACAAAAATATGAAAAAAAGTGTTAGTACTCACCAAGTATGAGACTGAACAGTGCACTGACATCACCTTAATTGTAACTCAGACACTATTGTAACTAGGACAAATAATTGATGGTAACTGAACAGGCTGAGACTAGAACACAGGAGCACAAATGCACACTTGAAACGAACAATTTAAGAAAAGACTGATGTGGCGAAAACTGTTACAGAAGCCCATTAAACCCCTGTGCATGTATAGATACATATATATACCCCAGGAGTGCCTACAGGCACAGCACACATATATGCAAGTAAGTATCTAAAGATAAGAATAAGATAGAGTAGAACCAAACTCCTTTGGAATGATAAAAGACTTGCTTGCAATATAGAAATAAAACTCAGGATTAATAATGAAATTTTAGGCATTAATCTAAATCTCTAAATTTCTGCACTTACAGCAGTCCCTTAGTGCTGTTTTTATGTATATACAGACATACTGGGTCCAAATCTAAGTTATATTAGAATAATGTTTATCCTGCTTTGTTATTATAAAGGACTCAAAATACTATATGAATAGATGATTGCTGAAGTTAATAAAGTCTGTATAACAACTTTGTTCCTTAGACCAATCAGTGGGTATAATTATTCTTCTGGGTTATTAAAATTCCCTACTTTTTCAGTCCAGAGGGGAGCATGATCATAGTTGTGAGAAAGGGCTACAGAGCAATTGAGAAAGAGAAATATAGCCCTGTTGAACCACAGATATTTTTGAGACTTTCATCCCTCAATATAACAGAGTGGCAAATGGAGTCTCTCAACCTGTCCTCATTTTTGTCTTTTAATAGAATCCTTAAGTTTCATTTAATTAAAAGAAGTGGGATTCACCAGTATTTAGATTTAGGCTTATTTATATTGCACTTAAAATATAAAGGATTATGGAGATGCGAAAGAAGAAAATGTTAGAACATCAAAGCAGTTTGTATTGCAAATTATCTGACAGGCAACATATCATTCGAAACCATGAGAGATACAGCAGCTCTAGCTAGAAGTTTTCTGATCTTCAAATCATTCTTCAGAAAACTTCACAAGTGGAAAGCAATTGACTTAGTGCCAGAGCACATTTAGTTTCACAGAGATTAAGAGAAATTCCGTTATGTCTTACGGCTTACCAGAGAAAGCAGCTCATAAAATTTCAACCCATTTTCTAGTTCATACAAGTTACTTTAGCTAATAAAACTTTCTCCTATTTTAATGTAATAATTGTACTGTGATCTCAAACAATATGATGCAACAATTTGACTTCATTTAATTCTGCTCTAGGATAAAGTGGAAATTGATCTACTCTGTAGCAATTTAATAGAAAAACATGAAACTGCATCAAGAAAGCCTGATTCAATATACTTCAGAACTTACATGGCAAAGGCAGTAAATTTTTCCTACACAGTGGAAATGTCAGGTAATGCTCTATTAAGGAGTGCAGCTTATTACCTACTGCATAAAGACACACACTTGCCAAGATTCCTGTTTCAGTGACAGGGAGCCCCATTCAGAAATGATTGATGCTTCCATATTTATAAAAACTATGCTACAATACTAGAATTGCCAAATACAGTAGCACAAAGAAAAGTTAATTTGCTTTAGACTCCACAACTAGATTCTAATCTCTGAATTTCCCTTTCAACCAGACAAGCTGTTATCTTGTTCTATGTCATACATGGCCACCTTTTAAAGGGTTACGAGCTCTCTTGCGGAAAAATAGTGAAGTGACTCAAGATCTGTTGCACAGCGCTTCATCCTACAGCAGATCACCAGATTCTTAGATGCCTATTCCTCTCAAAATTTTGGAAATTGTAGGGATTTCTTTTTTTCTCTACACGAAAACCAGCACTGCAATGTGACTGCACTGTAAGCCTGTTAGCACTTGATAACAGGTATAGACAAAGGCCAGTGTGAACTTTGAGTAACATCTAAGAACTGTACAAAATGAGGGTGTACATACTGAGATACATCTACGGCATGCAAATGTAAGGTCTAAAAAGGATTTGGGTTTATAGTTACTAGAAGGGAGATGTTATAGCAATCCCTGTACAGCAGCAACAATCACTTCCTCAAATATTAAGATAAGAAACACTAAACCTCAGAAGTGTGCAATAATATTATCCTATGAAAATTACTCTCTTGAAACAAAATTATCATACAGCTTAAGTTCTCTAGTCACTTTTCCCAGGGGAAAAATTATTTATTGCTCTCCGTAATGTATCTCCCACTTACCAGATTAATATCTTATTTAACTTCATTGCCACCCATCCTTCTGTTCCCTTACCATCCCTCAAAGTTATTAAAAGAGAAATAAATTCACAACAAAAAAGAAAATGAACATTCTGGAACACCCTGAACCATAAGGAAAAAACTAACAGTGCTCAGCCGGACCCAGTACACAAGTGGAGCAATTTGCACCACATAGCTTGACCTAAGAGGCATGGAATTTTTGCAACATTTGAAAATTGCCAATAGTTACTGTCAGGAAGCAGCACTTACCCTAATACAGAACACAGAAGTTTCACAAACATTAGAAGGTGGCAAAGATATGTTAATATATATAGATTAATTTACTCTAATATAAAGACACATGCACACACATAACAAATTAATAGACAGATAGGCAGACAGTTGCCTCATTTCACCAACATGGTCATCATAAAGTCCCTGGTAGTTAGACACCCTGAAGACTCAGCATCTCTAGACTGTATTTAATGCTGAAAGAAAACACACCTCTGCAGACCTACAGAGTCAGATACAGATCATTTATTTTAGGTGCCTACTTCTCTCTACTGAATATGCAAGAAACTGAGACAAAATTAGCTATTTGTTCTGCTGGAATCTAGTCCACCCCTTTAAGGCCAACCTCAACATACTTTAAGAAGAGTCAGGTGACAGCAGTGACAAAATTCATGACATCTGCTCCCTTCTCTACACACCCCAACATTCCCCTTCACGTTTTCTGCATGACTCCTGAGATGTCTGTCCAGTTGCCAAAGTATCAGAAGAGATAATCACACTCCTAGATGCCCAGCCGAGCCTCATCTAAGCATAAAAAGAATGCCTAAACATTTAGTGGTAAGATAGGTACCCTGTCATACTATAATTCAGATTGGAAAGGACTTAAAGAAGTGTCCAGCCCAAAGTCCTGCTGAAAGCAGGGTCAAAACTGAATTCAGATCAGATAGAATGTCTTAGTATGTACCTAGAATTCCAAGCTGAAAAAATATCAGCAGTATCTCATTACTGTTTCTGAATCTGACATTATTTAGCTTTTAGTTAGCAATGGTTGCAACTCTTCAAAAATTAGTGGCATATTCAATAGCATGTTTTTCCACAAATAATTATTTCAAGGTTAAACAAGGTTTTAAATCCAAGTAATAACAGAATCCATGCAATATTCTCTGTTATGCTTCTTTACATAAAAGGAAAATAAAGACAAAACTAGTAAAGACTAAAGCATGTACTTCGAAAATACATGAAGTGTGTAAGATCTATAAAACACATTTCCCCTTTAAGCATATGCTTTTAAAAGTACTTGTTTAAACGCAAACGATGGACCAAAGTTAACATATTATAAAATGTACCAAACTCTAGGTTAACTTATATGGTACCAAGAAAAAGATAATACACAGAACCTGAAAAGAAGAACAAAGGCAGAAAAGAGATTAAAAGATTTCTCTGTACATTTTATCAACGATTCCCTGATTGTAACACCCTTTGACAGCTGCGTTAGGCAGGCCAAGTGGCAAAACTCCCAAAAGGTGGAGAGCAACTCAAAATTCCAGCTTGTTTTTAGCATTAGACAGCCTAAATTAAAAAAAAAAAAAAAAAAAAAAAAAAAAAAAAAAAAAAGAGGAGGTTTTAGGACTGCAAAGTCAACTTTGCATTTCAGGATCTCATTCTGCTAATTATTTCAGGATCACAGGTTAAAAACAAGAGAGTTGCCAGAAGAACAACTTCCCAAGCCTGCATGAAGTTAAAACGTTATCCATTCTAATGAAGTGGTCATAAAGGTTAATAAGTACATATTAACAGACAAATGACAAGACTTTAGGGCTTTGTCCTCAACACACGTAAACTCTATCTCCTATCACGTACAGCCTCATACTTCTACTATTTTCACATCTTCTCAGCTTCTTAACCAATTTCTGCATTAACTTATGCCTAACTAAATCAAAAAGAAATTAATAGCCTATGAAGAGTAATCGCAAAAAGGAAACCCCACCACCAGTCCAAATAACTATTATTTATCGGGTAACCTCCTGTTGTTTATTAAAACAACTATCACTCAATGTGCATTTTTTTTCAAAATCTCAAAAATAAACTACCCAAGAATGTCTATAAGACAAAGAATATAGTGGATGGAAACAGTGATGTAACAAAAATCTCTCTTTCGTAGTACTCCAGGCACTAATTTTGCATTTTAGTATGGCTCCGGTAAAAGCAGTTAAAAGAGGAATGTGAAGTTACAGGTTTACAATTAAAATCAAAGCATCTTACTAGAATGATGTCTTACTTTTTCTCAAATAAAATTTTTAAAAGGCCACAAATTCCAAAAGCAATGCAGTTTTCTAATCACCTGCATGATTTAGTAATCTTCATTTGAAAGCATAAAAGCAAAGGAGGAAGCTAAAAATTAACATATAACTTTTACTACATCATAAATAATCAAAGATGAAAATCAAGAAAAGTATTCACAAGTTTGGAAACAAAAAGCAGAAAGCTTTACCTTGAAAAGCAGCTGCATTATGAGATATTAAAAATTTTAATGTAGCACTTGATGTTTGAAGCACTTGCTGTATGTCTTGCTTTGCTGCAATCTGATACCTTTCTTCCATCTTTTTGGTACAGCATGTTGGATTTTTAGAAGTACAAACCTGGAGATCGACACCTAAGGAAAAGGCAGTTTTACTGGTTAACATAAAACAGAAGTTTGCAAAACACGAAACACCTAGAAAACAGCTACAGTTTGTTTTTTGTTTGTTTTTTTACTTGGGTATCAACACACAGAAGAAACACCAAAAGCTTTAAAACATTTGTTCTTGTTCAACAGAAGGGGATACTAATTAAAATTCTGTGGGAAGAGTACACTTATTACAATTAATTAAAGTCATATAATACAATTTCCCTGACAATGTAATCTTGTTCTAGCTGTGAATATTGCTAAACAATGTTGGTAAAATATGTTGAATATGCACTGTACACCACATTACAGGTGGCAGATGTCCCACTCCTAGAAACACTCAAGATCTGCTTAGATGAGGCTCTGGGCAACCTGATCTAGTTGAAGATGTCCCTGCTGATTGCAGACCAGATGACCTTTAGAAGTCCCTTCCAACACAAATTACTCTGTGATTCTCTGATCCTCTACAATACTGAACTGCTGGAGCAGCTCACAGCTGGCACTCCTGTGCTTCTGTCACTCTTGGACTAGAAAAAAGCAAACTACTTCCAAACATTACAAACACACCAGTGGAAAGCCCACTCCTGACAGGTGCATAATGAACATGCTTATATTAACTTCTACACGGAGCAGCCCTAACTTCCAGTCTAATCTCCCTGCTTCCTTCTCTAATGTCAAACACTGCCATGAATCCCTGACACCGACTACCTACTTCCCTAATAGATTGTGAGACACTTCTACAAAGGAGTATTTTTTTTTAATTTCAGGCAGGCTGAAATTCCAGAGGGAAAATGCAGTACTTTTATAACTTTACAACTGGAGCATAGTAAAGCATAAAAAGCATCATTCACCTTCCTTGTTATCATGTGGTATTCAAAATATTTTTCTTTTTTAATACCGTATCTAAACAATGCTTTCTAATATAAAGAATAAATATATCGGGAAAGAATAAATATGAGACTTTAAATTATATCAATATAAAACTTAACAGTCCAATCCAAATTGTACTCTCAAATATGTTATTTCACTGACAGATGTGACAAGATTTCAGGGAAACATAGTGAGAAACTTTTTTTATCTGCATGACCTTTCAACTTCTACATTTTAGTTATTAACAAATAATATACAGGGTAACTGCTCACATGCAGTTCCCTCTGTATAAAGGCACAGGCATGAATAATACTTGTCTAATATTAAAATGAGGTAACTCAAAAATTAGGTCTATTAAAATCTTATTAGTATTTTAAATAATTGTTAGGCACTGCTTAGGTTTCAAACCTTTGCCACTTGTAAAGCAGAAGGATGATATATAGATATACTTGTAAAGCAGAAGATTGGGTATCACTGCTACAGAAGCTAATTTGAAACTTTATCTAGTCTTTATGGACTTGAGTACAGCTTCAAAAATACACACTTTCAGCAAAACTCTAAAATAATAATGAATATTTGTATATGGCTTCAGATGGCTCTTCAGTATCTTCAGTATTATTTTATTCCCTTGATTGTATGAAAAGTATTTTTTAAGCAGCATCTTTTGAACACAGATCTCATTCTCAATCCTAAGTGGATTTTGTTTTATAGTTTTAAGACTGCTAATCATGTACATATGAAGTACATTTTATTGACCTACTTTTGTTTCAGCTCATTAAACACAGCTGCTTTCACTGGCCAGGAAAAAGTAACCAAATACAACATACAAAGAACCCAACTGACTAAAAATTAAATTGTTGCTCAAAACCCGGAGTGGTTTTCTATTTGTTTTTTTAGAGATCTACAGAACAAGGATAAGGCTTACAGATAACGTTTGAGAAAACACATAAACCAGAACATGAAACAGGTCCTTCCATTTCAGTACAAGCAATATTCAAAATCCCACACAATTATTTTCTGAGTTTTCACATCTAAAGAACTTTCCATCTTCCACAAGAATTGTTTTCTCAATAACCAATTTTGAAATTAGAGGGAGAAAACACTTTCTACTCCAAAAAGGCATACTGGCTCTTTTCAGTACCAAATTCTGACGGCTCTACACTGTGATCCACCTTGAGACAAGATCAAAAGACAGCTAGAACTGAAACGCCTTAGCCTGTAATAAAAATATATTGAAGCAAGCATTGATGGTATAGGAAAGGTTTTAGAACTGAAAGCAATCTAGATGAGTCTAGGAAAGACGTTTGGGAAGAAAAACGTAATTGTTCTAAGGTGCAAGTTTACCTATCTGCAACTGATTTCAAACTTTTGTTCATGATCTCAGCTGTACAAATCTGTATTCTCAGTGTCCTGAGATAAACAAATGCTGATAGGATGAGGACATTAACTGCCAGGAAGAGCAAATGCCAGATCTGTGGTAAATATCTGTCAGTTTATTTAAACTTCCAAGAGACCACATGCAGCCTCTGAAAAATCCCAAAACAGGCTTAGGATTGCCATGACAAACAATCTTTTGAAAGCCAGCACTGAATTGCCATATGGCTTGGAAGCAATTGTCAAATCAGTGGTTTATTTCAAAATGGATTTGGAACCTGTTTAAGACCTAAGTCCTTCTCATGCTTATCCTTTAATATTTATTAACTTATTTTTGTTACAAACAGCATTCCAGACTTAGCAATACTTGCTATTACTAGGATTGTAAAGTACTTCAGCTTTACTCAGTAAAAGAGATGGGGATCAGCCTCAAGCACCCCTAACTGTCGATGCTGTTAACTATCATCCCGCTTCTGTGGCTCTATTCAGCAGGTGTCAGTACTTCTCTCACCTGCTCTTCAAGAGATGGCGAATTCTATATACTGCTTTCAAAGGGCACTCCCGATAACACTGTAGAACAAGTTTGGCTCCTTCCTTATACACTCCAAGCTCATCTTCCTGCCTACTAAAAAGCATGCCAGCAAGGTGAAGCCTTCAACACACCCATGCTACAGCGCAGAGAACAAAACATGCTATCCTGTCCAAAAGCCCTCCTGTTTTTGAGACTGCTTGAACTTCAGGGCAGAGGAAGTAACAGTGTCTTGACATCACAAAAGCATAATATTGGCTCCCAAGAAGATTCAAGAGAAAATCCTATGGAGGACAGTCCACTCCTTCCACAGGACACCAGCCTTAAGCAATGTAGACATAACCCTGGTCTGTTCCACTCGACATGAGAGTCAGGAGGCAGTCCTCTGTCTTCTATTGAGCCGCACCACCTTTTAGGCCAACCCAGCCAGATCCAGACTACTGAGCACTGATGACTTCCTAAAGAAGCTGAAAGATAGGGGAACTGCTATATAGCTGAGCCCACTTTTTTGTTGATTTTAATCTCAAAATATTGTTGATTTTTTTTCACAGTGATCATTTTGTGGATCCAGAGGTGAAATGTTCACACACATAAAATTATGCTGCTGGCAACAGTCCTTACAAAAACAGATGTGATATAATGAACATCAGTAACTGATTTGACAGAGCAATTAACTTTCTTTCTCTGACTAAATCATATTCCAGAGCTCTGAATGCCTGTTAGACAAATAGAGTAATTAGAAGTGTCCCTGCCTCCATACAACGAAAATAAAAAAATTAATTTGACTTGAGGTAGAACCAAAATCCAAATTACTGGAATGTAAATTATACTAAAAACCCAAATTAAATTTCAGATATGATCTTAGAATTTCATTAAAGTAACCTGCTGGATTTTAAACTGACTTCTATTGTTACTTTAAGGGGAGTTAGCAAGAATATTTAACTTGAATTAACAACAGTACCACAGACCAACTTTTTCTGACTTTATCTCATCCTTCCAGCATGGTCTTTCTCATTTATTCAATTTCATATTCATAATGGTTCCCTACCAAAAAGCCCTTACAGTAAAATTATACTAATCACAGTCTTCACTCTCTTTTATGCTTCTTGCTCTGATACTTGCAGATATCATCTCCCAGTGTTTGCTAAAAAGAAGCCTAGATTGATCCCAGGAAAAAAAGAAACCAACTCAAAACCAAAAAACCAAACAAACAGAATCAAACTGCTGAGAAAAAATATCTCGAGCACTTTTTTCCCCCCACTTAATTGGGAATTGTTTGACTCTACAGTGATAGTAAATGTAACATTTTCCAATAAGCCGCAAATTCAGCTTTTTGGTGCAAACAGAAGCTTGAACATTTTTTTACTGACATACCTACCAGAGGGTAGGCACGGGTGAATGGTTTACCAGCCATCCTATTCTGCTATTGCTAAAATCATATTATAGAATGGTCTGGGTTGGAAAGACCTTACAAAATATCTAGTTCCAACCCTCCAGGAAGGGCAGGGACATATTTCATTAGACCAGGTTTTTCAAAGCCCCATCATGCCTGGCCTTGAACACTTCCAGGGACTGGGATCCACAGCTTCTCTGTTCTAGGTATTCTGAGAGAAAGAAATCAGAAAATAAATATTATTTGCAACTGAGATAACAAGAACAACTCAGAGCTCTCATTTAATCTCTCTGAAAAAAAAGAGCTGCTGAAATTAGCTAAAAGCTCTAGATTTACTAGCATATAGGGTAAAAGAGTAGAAATCTTCAAGAAATCTTAGGTTACAATACCGAATAGGATATAAAATACCTTGAACATAGGAAATAAAAATATGTTAAAAAGTATTTTGCAGATAACAATTTCTTTTTTTTTAATAATCCAAGTCATATTGATCCACAAAAATAAAATAAAAAAAAACTCCAGACCTAACCTTTGAGTACTTTTTATTTAATTCTTCATACAGCAAAAAAAGTGGTTTTTAGGATTTTTAATTACTGAGGTTATTCTGTATAGTCCCACCAAAAATGTACTTGTAGCACAGAACCAGACAGGAAACAAAGTATTTTTGCAACTAACACTTAAAATCAGCATGAATGCAATAAATGTTCCAATATAGCATGTGATGGGGCTGAGCATAAGTTTGTACTATAGCTCCCAAATCCAAATCACATTTACAAAAGACCAAGAACAGTTAGTCAAATGTCTTGATCGCTAGGGGTAGCAATAAGTACCTTGGGATTGGTAAAAAATATATATCTTGATTATTATATATATATATATCTTGATTATTAGTTTCCATTTTCAACACTGTTATATCCTGTCCTATGTGGATGATAACACAAACTCAAATTTGTAGTTTTCATATTCTTCAAGATCACCTTCGTGTATATGTCATTTCTGCACAGGATGACAGAAATATTTTTTTTCTCCCTTAAAGATACACAATCTTTATACAATTGCTGCAAAACTAATTATATAACATAATGTATTGGTTTTTGAGCTAAAATATGTTCAAAATACAGACACATGACCATCTCCAGAACTAGAATTTACATGATTTACTGAGATAAGGCTGCTGTTTTTATTCCTACCAAGAAGAGGAAAGAATGGGAATGGTACAGCCTTTTTTTTTTACATGCAACAAAAACAAGGCAAATAAAAACCCTATAATTTTATTTACTTCCACTGCATACAAAACCATACATCAACCAGCATTCCTGCTGTACCTCAGCTGGTGACCATGCTCTACCCCAAAGAGACTGCTTAGGACATTTAAATGAAAGTGTTCTTAAACAAGTTGTGTCTAAGGTGCCACTAAAATAAAGACATAGAGGCAATGCAGTAGAAGCATTTATGCAGCTTATTCTGAAGCCAACACTAACATTTGATAATGGAGTAGCTCCAACATGCCACAAGCTGCACTAGCTGTCCACTGTGGCTGCCCTGAGGAGCACCTGAGATGCCAAAGATATCCCACCCACTGCACACTGCACTACCAGAAAGATGTAAATTTCCCAGAGTTATTACATCTCTCAGCCCCATTGGGAAGATGATGGAAACCTTAGGAAAATTAAAATGCTGATAGATGCCTACATTTCAGCACCAAAATTAAAGCTTGTAAAGGCAGCAAGCTTGGACACCTATTTTCATAAGTGGACACCTACAAGAAATGCATGTGTTTTACAGGTACATGTGTGTGTCATATACACAAACACATTTCTTCTGTCATCAGAAAAGGTTTCAAAATATTTTTACATCTTGCCCCAAAAGAAGGCTTAATACAGAAGATCAGTAGCAAAAACTGACATTTCTCTTCACATTACACTTTGAGCCTACTAAAACCTTTAATCACACCTAAATCTTCTAAAATACTCATTTAATCCCCGTTTTCTTGTCATTGCACTTCCGGACAGATTTTACTGTTTGCAATTATTTGTTTAATGATATCTGAGATGAATGCTACTCAGAACCAGAACTCTGGCAGCCCACAGCAATGTAATTCCTTCAAAGAGTAAAAGGCTGCTGACCATACAGCTGTACCACACCTCCTACTGCCCACTGTTTGCAAGGGCAGCACCAAAGAAAGGAATTATTTTATATATTCTTACAATTCAAACATGGCTTTTCCTACAAGCAGGAAATGCAGAAAAGTCAAAATCAAAAGAAGAAAGTGAGTAGTGGTATAAAAATATTATAGGAGAAAGGAGGAAATTGGAGGAGCGGAGCAGAAGAAACATATATAAGGTACTATAGTTTTTTTCTTTTGAGTCAACATATTTCCTCCCTATCCCTCGTACACAAATGAATGGTAAAGTAATCAAAAATAATAACAGAGAAAGCACAACATTTACACAAGACTACAGAATGAGAAAAACATAGATAAAGTGATACAATATCATTCATACTGAGATTATTCACACAAATAATCAGCACAGAAAAACTAAATCACCGACAGGGCTGTAACTCAGATTTCACTTTCCAAACACCTTCATTTGCACAGTACTTGTCTCATCAGGCTTTCCAATTGAAGCATTTATTTTCTTTGTATCAAAGACAATTATAAAATCTTTAGGTTAGGACAATGCAAGAAGACAATCATGCATGTTGATAAATGTACTGGTAACAAATATAGTACTCCAATTTGAAAACTACACACTGCAATATTGACTGTTAAGCATTACAAATTTAAAGCCAGAGTTATTAAAAGCTCTATTTTGGAGGGATTCCTTTAAAATAAACCTAGTACACCTTATCTCAACTTGCAGAGTTAATAAAAATGACACAAATTATCTTTTAAAAAAATGAAGTTAGTTATTGATATTTTTAAGTGAGGGGGACATTAACTCATCTTTTGTTGCATTTTCTGTCTAAAAAGCACTGACTCACATTTACTAGTTAACTTGTCATCCAAAAATGAACACACTTTACAGATGGGCAAAAAAAAAAAAGTTGTTTTCTCATCCTATATGGCTGATCACTAAAATACTTGCACTTTAATCCTCTAAGTTCAACTGAGGTTCTCACAAACCTGGAACCGAAACCTCAAACCTAAAAACCTACACCTTACTACGTCATTCAGCTTTGCACCGTCATTCAGCATCTACTTTAAAAAAAAAAAAAAAAATCATTGCTGATACAAATGCTAGCTATACTCAAATTGCCATGAAGACTCTCCTTTCCCGGGAATTTTATTCCATTACATTCCAGTGACAGGTAGCTATCGAGTAGGGAAAATGCGCAGCCCGAGCACTTGCAGCGGTGTAAGTCATTCTCGTTTCCCAGCAGAGTGACTCCAGCAGCCCCAGCGCAGCTCGGTGGCTGTCCCCAGCCTCCAGGTTCGCGTGCCTGCCAGGGCCGGCTGGAAGCAGGGTGACCCCGGCTGAAGCGCAGCTCTGCGCGGTACGGAGTCGAAGTGGGCGGGCACAAGGGCGCTTCGGGCAGGTATCGGGGTGCTCCAGCGCCCACAGCCCGAGAAGGGAATTTTCTCTCTTGAGTAAGGGGGCAGCCGCGATGTCCTACAAAGCGGGGGACCCGATGTGCCCAGGCCAGCCGCCAGCATCACCCACCCATTGCCGCCGGCGGCACTGAACCCAAACCGGCGGCCCCGCCGCTCCCGGTGTCTCCTGCCCCGCCAGCTCTGCCTTACCTGCCCGCGGGAACTCCGGGACGCCGCCGAGCGGGCCGAGCCGCCGCAGCTGGAAAACTTTCCGGACCGCCTCGCAGCTCGGCGGCGGTTCCGCGCCCTCCGAGGCGGCGGCCAGGAGCAGCACGGCGAGGGTCAGGATGCCGAGGCGGAAACTCTTCCCCCCCATGGCCGCGACCGCCGCCAGCTGCCGCAGGGACGCTGCCGAGGCGCCCCGAGCCGCCGCCGCGGGGGAGGCACCGCCCGCCGCCCCGCCGGGAGCCTCCCCCGGCCCGGCCCGGCCCCCGCCCGAGGAGGGGCCCCACGCCCAGGGCGGCAGCGGGGGGCGCTGCCAGTGCCCGTCTCGGGGCTGGGGACAAGAGGAAACACCCCCGCCCCACCGCGTATACCCGGGAGTGCGGACTCTGGAGGAGAAACGCAAAGGCAAAGGAGGTGCTGGCATAGTAAGGGAACAATTTTAACCCAAAAACACGAAAAAAAAAAAGTATACCGCTTTGGGGAACTGCTAGCAACAGGCTTAACACTGTCAGTAAGGTACGCCGTTCAGTTTGGCTTGAAATGCCAAACTTTTGTTTTTCTGCAAACAAAAGTTTCCAAGAATTCGGCATCTTCAAAAGTTTCAGTTTGAGGCAAACGTGACATGGAACCATTTTACAAACTTCTGTCCTGTAAGGTGAAGTCCGATGGGAACTCTTAGAGCAGCCAAGGAAGCAGGTGGGAAGCATCAGGTTATCTTGAGAACAGCTTTCTTGATGCCAAAATCAAGAATTTTCTCCATGCACAAATTTTAAATGTCACACCTTACCCCTGACAGCCACCAATTTTTCTTGGTGCGCTTCGAAGCTGCAAGTGGTCATTCAGCACTGTAAAACATAAGGCTTTCCATTTAAAAGAAATATTTTATTCCTGTCAGCAATTTCGACACAAGACTGCAAAACCAGTTCTAAGTGTGGATTATTCCACACTTTCATTTTAATACTGTTAACAAACCGAAACATAAGTTATTAAAATTTGCACTAGAGATCAACCACTACTGAGCAAAGCAATAAAACAATGTCATTATCCAGTCTACTGAATGACAGCTCATAAGAAGGGGAGAGGAATAGTATTTCTGAATCATCCATACTCCTGGGCTTGGCAACTTACTTCTGTCAGCAAGCTCCAAAATTATATGAAATGTCCTTTAACAAAATTTGTTGTACTTTTCTTATACATTGATGTATAAAGAGTGTACACAGAGGACAGGTTACAATCTTCTTGATAAAGCACACTACAACAAAAGACATTTTAGAACCCAGTGGAAAAAAAAAAAAAAAAAAAGGAAGGGAGGGAAAAAACAGTGAATCCTACTAAAAAAAAAACAAAACCAAAAAACCAAAAAACAACAACAACAAAAAAAACCCCAAAAACATTTTTGTTTAGATTAAAGTCAATAAATTAAAAAAAAAAATTGCAATGTCTTGTAAGGAAGCTGGTAGGAGGCAGTGAACCCCTCTTCACTCAGTAAAATAGTCTTTTTTAAAATATTGAAAAATACCACTGGGGAAAACAATCTGAACATGGGAGCCAGAGAACATAGGATCTTATTCAGCAACTTCAAGATGGTAGAGCAAATTCTGAAAATAATGAAATGCCATCCTCAACACCTAATACAAGATGTGCAGCACTCACAGCAAACTTATGAAAATAAAGTATTAGAATTCAGGGAAAAATTCTTGCAAGTTAAGAAAAACATATAAGCATTCCTACTTACAGATTTCCCCTTTACCCCACAACCACATGGAAGTTTGCCTACAGCAATAGATGATGTTGTGTAATCTCTAGAAACCCTTTGCTTCTAATGGGACCAGTACTTTCTCATATCCTCCATTAATAGCAATTCTGAGAAACCTCTATCCCCCAACTATACAGTTTAAGGGAAAAGGGAAGATTTTGGTAAGAAATCGAACATACGTGTTTTAACTAGATCTTACCACATAAGAAAGATTCTAGTTTAGTACAAAAAATGAAGTGGGTTTTGTTTGTTGGGGGATTTGGAGAGTTGGTTTCTCAATTTTTATTTTTTGTTAATAACTTTAGCATAGGAAGTGGGAAGGAAATAATTATATTTTGCTACATTAGAAGGTTGAATTTAATTTCAGGTTTTATGCTTCAAAGCTTTCCTGACTTTAGTCTTAAAATGTGTATTTTAGCTAACAAGTTTCAAGAATTAATTATTCTGGGATATACTAGACTGAATTTCTGTTTGGTAGTGCTGTTTAGCTAGTAATGAGCAGGCTCCTGTCTCTTGCCATGGAGCTCACTTTTGTGACTGTATTTTGAATCTAGCACTTTTCAGTGGGCATATTTTGCTTTTGCTGCTAGCTGTAGTGCTGTACTGCTTATCACCTTACTGTATTGTGCCTGGGAATGCTTTGATAACAGCCACACAGATGTGCCTCCAAAGGATGGCAGGTCGCCAGTGTAGCTGCTGTTCCTGTCCTGCTGTACTGGACAGGCTGGAACTTCAGTCTGAACTTGAGCTGAAAGTTCTGTGACCTGTGAATGGGTCCATTATGGAAAAGAGATCCACCTGCAGTCCATGGAGAACCCCATGCCAGAGCAGATGAATGCCTGAAGGAGGATGTGACCCTGTGATGGAGCAGGTTTGCAGAAAAAAGGAACTCTTCTCATTTTGATATGAGAATATATATACATATATATGAAGTTTACGAGAGAACATTAGGATTGGCTATGCTTGTATCTTCTTTGCCAAAGTCTGAACACACGCACTTGATGGCTCCTCACAGATAGCTAGCTGTTAGCACAAGATGAGTTAAGAATACCCCTTCTACAAATTCTCCCTTTGCATCTTTTCCTTGATCACAAACAATATCACTCTATTACCTGAAACACTGGTGCAATACCAGAGGAGGATCTACAATTTATCCCTCTAAATCACAGGAAGCTAAAATGAAGCTTTCTGTTATTTTTGGAACACAGCTAAGATTCCTCCTCATCTACACAAATGACATTCTCCTTTGGACTGTCATCTTGTAACATCTGAAAACATTTTATATGGCTGTGCCACCTTTCCTGTTTTCATCTCTTCAGAGAGCTACTACAAAAATAACCCTTTCCAAACTGTTGCTCAGACCACATTCACTTTTCTCATATTCCTTACTGTGTTAAACACAAGTTGCTTGGCTTTGGTTGCATATCCTTCTAAGTGGTCCCCTCTCAGGATACAAAAGGGAATTTCTACTTCCCAAGGACTACAGCACCTGTCTTTATCTTCAAGTTCTGAAATGATAATATACTTTCATGCTATTTTGTCTCATGTATCTGAAAGTAGTACAAATACCTATTAAGCTGCCTCATAGTAAAAAGATTTGAAGAGTGATTTAGTGATTTGGAAGTCATTTTAGTTTTGAGTATTATTTTTATACATACCACAGCAAAAGGAAAGAAATCAATCTTTACTGATTAAGAAGACAGACAAGTGCTTGTGTTGTCTGCTATGTTCACATCATCTCCCAGCATCAAATTCTATTTCTGATCTAATATATGCTCTCTGTAAGTTCTTGGTTTTGATAACATCCTTTTGATTTTTGTATTGCTTTGAACAGAGTAGGTATCCTAGGACTAAAATATAACTTCTTGAAGTTACAGCAACAGCATGGGAGGAACAACAACAAAACAACAACCACCCAGCAAATCACCAATGTTTTCTTCAGTTACACAGAGCTATAATAATGATTCAATAGATAGTAAGAAAAAAAAAAAAACCACAAAAACAACCAAAACTAAAAACAAAAACAAAAACCCCCAGTTATCTTATTTTATCTTATTTAGTGAAGTAGGACTAAAAGCTACGTAGCATTTGTATTCATAACAATGCCACACTTGCCAACTATACCATAAACGTAGTAATGCCTGTAAAGCTTCACACACAACTCTGAAGTTTGATTCATCTAATCATTCATTAAAAGTAGAGCTGAAAGAGTTGATACTAGACTTACAAAAGTTTTGATTTTGAGATAAATTTTCAAAAAAGTTGGTTGGGATATTTTGGTATTTTTTAAAGAAGGCAAAAAAATATGAATTTTAACTGAAAATCTTTTTGAACTCTTAATGAGAAAATTATAATACATGTTTTCTGATGTATTATTGTTTCATGCTTGCAACTGTTATTGATCAAAATTAATCCAGCCAAATTAAAAAATAAAAATTGATTTTATTTAGGAATCCAAATCTATCTGAGCCAGCCACAAAGAAAATGACAGTGCCAAGCCCAGGATCAGCACTGGGTGAGACACAAGTCTGATGGCTACAGCAGAGGGTCCCCTATGTTTCACACCGAGCGTCCTGCGCAAGTGATTTGGTTCATTTTGCTCGAGGCCGGGATTTCGGCGATCGACATTTGCCTTCCATTCAAAGTCCCACATATTCATAAAGTCTCTTTTCTCTGTGCTGAGCTGAACAATCTGGTGATCGGGAAGCTATGTACATCCTTGATGGAGTTACAGGAACTCAGCCTTGAGATGTATCCTTTTGGGTGGTTCCAGTGATTCCAGTCTTGGGTCGTTGTCGGGATGATCATCGCTCAGGAGTACCTGGATCACCTTCAGAAATGACCCATCTCCTGACTTGTAAATGAGGTCTTATCAGAGACATTTTCAACATATGCGAGGCAAAGCCCCTAGTACCGACTCATATGCCTTTTAATAATATGAAATATTACATACATATCAACCTACAGGCGCGAATTATCTATATTACACATAACACAATGACAAAGAGTTGTCAGCTGAGAACACATGAGAGAAAGAAGACTGGAGAAACAGATGCAGACCACAGAGGAGTACATTGCAATCATAGTAACTTTTGGAAGAGACCTTTAAAGGTCCTCTAGTCCAATTCTCCTGTGACGAGCAGGGGCATCTTCAACAATGACAGACCACCAGCATTGCTCCTCCCACCCCCAAGCACACAGCAGATGCTATTCTTCCATTAACTTCAGCTGAGGCTTTCCCCACACATTATGGTCCCAGCATCCCTTCTGTCCCAGCTCCCGGCCTCTCAGTAACTCCCTACATGCTCTTTATCTTCCCGGTGAAATCAGCCAGCCGCTGTCACCCAGGAAAAGCCTGGCAGGCAGATCCGAGGAAGTGCTTTGCCTGCCTGCTGCCACCACTCCCAGGGACTCCTCCACTCCCGCAGGTGCACCCTGAGCTTGGGCCCATGGGGTGTGTTA